TCATGAAAACAGATAGAAAAGGATGCTCAGGACAGGCTTCGCTGGAGTAATGCTGTTGATGGCCTGTGCTCCACTGGGAGTTTAAAAGGGCAAGAGAGAGAGAGAGAAATAAAAGGCCATGTAGACCGTTTTATAGTTTTTGCCTCAACTTAACATAAAAACATACTGAGATCCGAAAATTTTTACACGTTTTTATTCATCCTCGACAGTACATGGAGGGAGACCCTTCAGATGTTCAAATAACTTAGGTTCAAAATGAAAATTAAACTACTGAAAAACAGTGCTCCAACTCTCACATATAATATATTGTTCAGTGAGAAAAATTAGGCCAACAATGAACAAAATGGAAACAATTTGTTACACATAGTGATAATATAACATTTCTTCAAGTCAATAATATCCAATGTATCACCAACTTTGAAAAAGTGTGACTAAACTACATGTATTGTCCCTTTAATAATTTCAAATCATGATTCAATCTAATACGGGGTGCCCGCTACGGACGGGATCGGCCGATCACCTGACTCGATCACCTCAAAAACAAACGTGTTAGTTTTCAGTTTCAGGCGCGATCGAGTCGGGCGATCGGCCCGATCCAGCTGTAGTGGGCACCCCGTATAAAGAGTCATTTAACCCCTTCATGACATGTGACTTAACCTGTATGACATAAATTGCTTCACTGAGAGACCTTATGATGCACATCTGATATTAAAATCAGCTGATTTTGACTATTCCCAGGACCTCCTGATGTAAGACATAAGGCATATACTAATTGTTGTACAGCGCCATTGTCAGTAACTGTAGCCTGAAATAGTTTTAGTTTAGTTTTAATAAGGTTTTACCGTGCTCGCAACTTCTGCATAAGAGCCTGAAATAGACTTCAGATTTGAAATCTAGGATGTCTAAAATACAAGAGTTACCTACAACTATTTTCTTTTAGGGGATGTTAGGGCCAACTTAGCCTCCTTGTTTCCTTCATGTTGGGAGCTTACAGATGTTAACAATTTCCACAGCACCCTAGAACAATAACAATTTCCACAGTACCCTACAACAGCTGGAGTATGTATTAGGAGTGCTGTGAACAGTTTCACACACACCAAAAAATATATTGGATGCAACTGCTACCAGATAATCATGGGAAATTATAGATTTAAGCTGAAAAAAAAAAGTCAAGTTTTATGTCAAGTTCAGTTTCATTAAATGGCTTTTCCTGTTATTTTGGCCTATTTTCTGATTTTCGACCTTGACAGTAGGCATATTTTGCATTTTGCTGTCCCCGTCATTTTATGCAAGAAAAATTCTAAAATTATGCAAACTGAGTCCAAAAATGTGAAAATATGCCATTCTGTTAATTTTAACAAAGAATGATAAAGGAAAATAATCAGAAATTATGCAAAAAAATTATCAAATTTTGCTAAATTAAGCGGGGTGCATAAAACCATGGGGACAGATTTTGCAAACTTCAACAATCACCCAAAATAGCTCTTAAGCTTTTTGGCCTGGATTGTCGAAACAGGCATGTCCAGCTTTGAAAGAAACTTTGCATCACAAAGGAGTTAACAGGTACTAAACAGAATGGTCAACCATAAAAGAAAAGAATACATTTTCAGCACCATCAATTTATTGCTTGACACACTATCACAAAAAAGCATCCATATCGGATCAAAGCTAGTAAAAATAAACACTAATATCAAAATTGATGCACATTCCAGATGAGATGTAATGGGCTCGCACAAAAAATATATTGAGGAACACAGCAGCAGGCAAAATTTAGGAATTAAGTAAAGTGTTTAAATGGAATTATGTACAGAACTCAAAATTTAACTGGAAACCAGGAAACTGGCTGCATTTTATAAATTCTAAGGAGGATAATGTCAATGAAACAGGGTAAAATACTTAGGACAATAACCTCTGAAAAAAAAAATTTTTTTAACTGATAGGCCCTCTCCAAAGACATGAACAATAAATCAGTGAATAAAGTCAATATATGGATCACCACAGAGTTCAATAATCCAGAGAATGACAAGGAAGAGGTCACAACATAAGTCAAACATACAAGAATGGAAACATTTTTAAAAACAGGATTTATAGACTAGTAGTAGTGATATCTACCTGTACAAATTTATCAGAGATTATAAGTCATTGATATATATATATCACAAAATACCCGTAAAATCTGAGATGCATAGCATAAACTTAGCACAAACCTTAATTAACAAAAGAATTCCCACATTACAAATTCACCAAGCTTTTGCAATTTGTCTAGATGCTGGCAATCCTTCTAGTAAGACAGCCGCAGTCAGCCCAGTACTTTTTCATACAGAATCATCAGACACACATCTACACAACAGCTTAAATCTAAAACCTAACTATTTTGGGGTGTAAGAGTGTGTAGTTTGTAAGTGAGGCGATGCAAGACAGAGAGTTAGATAAGATGAGGAAAGACTTGTTAGAAGAATTTTCTACAGAGTCCAGTGCCCTAAGATCTCTTTCGTCGGCCGAGCTTGTCTGAACCTGGGAACTACAATGGCCATAGCTGAGTTCAACATGGGTTCCAAGGCGAGACACCTCCTTTTCAAGCACCTTGGCTTGATGTCAGGTGAAGTAACGAAGAAAAGTGGAGCTAGGAGAGACAAAACACGCCTCAGAAAGGCTGAAAATTATAAACTGAAGCAGCGTCTTGCTCAAGCTGCTGAAGATGAAGTTTTAAAGCGGAAAGAAGGGGTTATGTATGGGGCAGGGGAATTTGATCATTAATTTGTTGATAGGGATGTTATTTGGCATCTATCACTTGCATTTTGTATTGAAAAATGAATTTTTAAAGAAATTTGTAGCCTTTCTGAAATTTTTTGCCAACTTTTGTTGGGGGGTATGTTTCCTGATTTAGAATGAGCACAAGAACTGATTATTTTAGTGATTTGTTTTATTATATTATGATAGAGAATTGAATTATGAACATTGTATTACACTTGAAATTTGAATGAAAACTGACTGAGTTACACAAAATTTTTAGAACTCGAAACTTTAAAATGGAATTTCTCAAAATGCACGTTTTGTCACACCCTCTTTGCACATTTTCTCATTTTTTGATGGAACTGTTAATAATATCCTTCTGAAATTTGGCATGCTTATTCTCATTATATTGCTCTGTGAAATTTTGAAGAGATAATCAATAATTTCTGTTGGTATTTAGTTTTATGGTCAACCTTGCAAATGGGTGGTGTCGATCTTATGGACCAAGCGTCCAAGTACTATTCAACATTAAGGAGCTCATTCACGTGGTGGAGGAAACTGGCTTTCTTTTTGACTGATCTGGCAGCCACAAATGTGTACATTCTGTTTCGAAAGTTCGGGAAAAAACCAGTACCTCACGACCAAGCCATGGTGAAACTAGTGACCCACCTGATTGTCCAAGGCAATGACATTCAAACTGAAGTCAGGAAAAAGGTTGGCCGTCCCAGTCTTGCCCCCACTCCCAAGAACCGCGGCTCACGCCACGTCACTTCTGTGACAGGATTCCTGCACAGCAGGGGGCGAAGCGTAAAAACCTTATGCAGGATTGCGTCATTCGTAATCCTCACTTTAAACAAAGGGTCAATTTCAAGCGAAAACAAAGACGATTTTGGTGCCCAGACTGTGCTGTCCCCACGTGCATGCCAAGAGGCTTCAGACTCTATCACACAGAGCTGGACTACTACAAGGCCTATCAACTTGAGATTGAGGCTGAGCAACAGCAGCAGCACTAAGTCAGCTGACATTTTCTTTGGACGCAATCAGCTACCCTGTACATAGTCAGTGACTTTGTGAATTCACTGACCGCACATCACATGGCAGAACATCTCCAGTGGTGCCAGCACAGAGTGAGGTGGCCCCGTGCAGTTCGGAGAACCACTTTGGACATACTACTTCACAATACAATCAAATCACTCGCTCTTGCTTTGGCAAGCACTGAAATTACAATTGATGAAGGACCAGCATCGACCCTTACTTGATTTGAAGGGAAACACTTTCCATCTTACTGCCCTACAGATCGGAATACCAAAGCGTATAGAAACTGCAAACTTTGTTACGAAGCTGCCATCAAAGCAGGCTCCACGACAAAAGAACTCCATAACAAACGGAAACAAACCATGTTCTGGTGCCACAAATGTTAGGTTGCCCTGTGTCTGGAGCCTTGCTTTGAGCATTATCATACCAAAAAAGACTACCTGAAGGACTAAAGCAAGTATTGCTTTCTTTGTACAGTGTAAATAGTTTTATCTTGTTCCCTTTGGGAAGTTATGTTCGAAAATGTTTTTTTTGGTTAATCAATATGATGAGCATACAAGCATACAATGAGTATAAAATGAACAATGAGCACTATTGGATTTTACTAATGGACCCAGGAGTATAAAAGAATGATACCTGAATAAAAAGAACTACTGGTACATAAAATACCAATTTGGGTGAGTAGAAAGCACTGTTTGTCTCATTATATGTTATCTTATGCTTACTAAAACTGTTTTTGTTTTCTGTTGTTGGCCACGTTTTTGTCATTGCTATGGTTATGTGTTCATTTGCATAATTGACTAATTGACCATAAAAGTAGTTTTTACTAACCTTCTGATACACATATATCAATGAAACATTTATCTTTGACAATAATTACTACTCAAACAGTCATACGGTTTCTGGGAATTTCTATAGTTTTATATAGATGGTTACAGGGAATATTAAGGGTGTTGGCACTACGGTTTGAAAGAGTTAAAAAATTTCAGTTTTAAAATTGAGTGTCAGGTTTCTTTTTTGAAGGGTATATTATATTACACCGAGCATGCCAAAATTGTACTATAACACTATGAGCATGCTCTTTACAACTGTGAATTGCTGAAGAGTGACTGGCTTGGCTGATATGCATGCCCATATTACTACTCCAATCCTGACAAAACATCTTTAAAATAAAAAAACAATCATCAACAGCTTACAGGTAAGTCTCAATTGTTTCCACAATTAAATGGTTTTAAAAAAGGACTCATATAAAGGCTGCCATTATATTGATCAAACTGAAATCAAGCTTCATAGTTTAGAACACACTAATCCGGTTTACAGTCAAGGAACAGTATCACACAGAAACTAAGAATGAAAATGAAAAGAACAAAAATACAGACCACAGCACCTTTCCTTCCAGGACCTGAACAATGAAATGGGGATTATATTCCTCTGAGAGGTAACAATCCAGAATGACTTTTGTATGCTGAAGCTATCAATAATTATAATAAGAACTTCAAAACGCAGAAAAGAAAAAGACTGTACTCAGAAGCCTTTCAATACCAGTTTTCCTCCGATACTTCACAATAGGAGAATCTCAGTGTGGCTTGCTACTGCTGAAATAGAAATCCAGACCTCTCTTCTGTCCTGCCTGCTGTGACTGATGACCCTGACCCCTATGTGAACCCTTATTTTGACCTCTTCCTCTTGCTGACCCTGGTCCTTTATCTCTTCCACCTCCACTCGATCCCTGCAAAAGAGAGCATGTCAATACAGAATTATGAGAAGTACAATGACACATTAACAGTAATTTAGTTCTAGGACAAATGCAAGACGGATAGACTGAAATAAGCCACAAAGTAGGACCTACCAGTGGCGCCCTTCGATCACCCTAAAGGAATAATGATCCCATTTTGAAGTAAATTGAATACAAGTAATAAGATCAAGAATGCTGAAAAATGCAGACGCATTAATGCACCGAGGGGGGGGGGGTGTTACTGCACAAAACCCAATCACACTGATACAGTCAGTATAAATATTTGACTTTCAGTTAACATCTTCATTAAAGATTAGTTAGCCAATCAAATATATGTTATGTGAAGGAATGGAAATATCCAGCCCCTGGGTGGTATTCAATCAATTGCCTTTGTTTGTACATGTACATTGTATTTAACAATTATTTGTTAAAAACAGACCAATTAAACTCACTGGTCTGTTGACATGTCTACTCCACTCTGGCGCCTTCACCAATGGGAGAGGATAGGTCTGACCCAAACTGACGTCCCCACTCTCCAGCACGGCGGGGCTTAAGGTCCAGACACAATGCACACTTCCTGTCTTGATGCCTGCCAGCTCCGGGACCCACAGTCTCACATAATCACCCTGAACAAGAAGGATAGCAGTCCACCCATATTCATCAGTTTACAAAACGAAAAAGCATTGAACTATGCATTCATAATAAGGTCGGGCACAGATAAAACAAAACACCAAAAATTCTGAGACACAGATAACCCATACAATTTACAATTCCTTGACTGATATCTCTTTATTTTTCGTTATCGGTTAAACCAGAATTATGGATGTTTCGAACACAATTATCAACTCCTGGCATATGTGGGTTATCCATGTCCAACTGTATGTAGAGGAAAAGAGTTAAGTTTGAGGTAACTGAATTGTCTGCAAAACACAAATGACTAAGCAATCTGAAGAAAGAAGAGCTTCAAAACAATAAACTTTGTCTCTTCACTATTTCAGTAGGCTACTGTTCAAGTGAGTGTCCAAATCTTGCCTTATTGAAGGGCCTTTCTGTGATAAACCACTGCTTGCCATAGAATCTGAGCTTTTCTAGTAGGCAGTTCAATGAAAAATTCAAAGTTGTTAGATTTAGATGAAAATAGGCTCAAATGAAAGGTCCTGCCACACTGATCACAGTACTTTTTAAAATTTTGTCAATATCTGTATTGGTTGAGAAGTTATGGGATTTTTTCTACTTTATTTTTCGCTAAAAAATCTGGTCCTTTTTTGCACTGCATTTTGCGACTAAAGGAGGACAAAAATCGACCAAAATGTACATAACTTCGCAACCTGTAAAGGTATCTTCATGTTTTTTGCATCAAATTAAAGGTTATTATGTGTACTTTCATATGAAAGAAACAGAAAGAACTTTGTCTCATAAATCTCTTTAACATGGTATGAAGATTAAGAGCGGGGTCACTTTTCATGTGTCCGAAAAAGGAGGAATTTGAAAATAAGCAATGATATTTCAACAAGGAATAGTCCAAAGTGTGCGTGTCATGTATCATTTTGATTATCTTATTCAAACCATTTTTAAAAGAGAATATAAGAAGAGGAAGACAAAATTTCAAACTGCACTAGAAAAGGAGAAAAGAACAAATTGAGGTAAAAATCAAGGACGAAAAAAATATTTGATTGAAAATCACATAAGAGGCCTACTAGACCGTAAATGCTATTCCAAGTAACTTTCATTGTGACCAGACAGTTGTGTGAACATAAAACTAGTAGTGATGAACAGTTTGAGGAAAGAAGGGAAGAATTTGAGGGTGGCGTCGGTGGCCTAGTGATTAGGCTCTCGGACTCGCAACCGTAAGGTCGTGGGTTCGAATCCCGTCAGGGACCCGACGTTGTGTCCTTGGGAAAGGCACTTTACACGAATTTTCCTCACTTCACCCAGGTGGGAATGGGTACCCGGCTATAGACAGCGAAAGATCTTGTCAGTTTGTTAGTGTTTGAGCGCTTAATCGGCTGCTTAGACTGTATGCTTCCTGGGAAGCTGAGAATGTTTCAGAGTGTTCTATGGTCTGCTGGGGTAATAATATAGTGTAAAGCGCATAGAGCCTGCTGTTGAGCGGGGATATGCGCTATACAAATGCTATCTATTATTATTGTGGCGTCGGTGGCCTAGTGGTTAGGCTCTCGGACTCGCAACCGTAAGGTCGTGGGTTCGAATCCCGTCAGGGACCCGACGTTGTGTCCTTGGGAAAGGCACTTTACACGAATTTTCCTCACTTCACCCAGGTGGGAAATGGGTACCCGGCTATAGACAGCGAAAGATCTTGTCAGTTTGTTAGTGTTTGAGCGCTTAATCGGCTGCTTGCACTGTATGCTTCCTGGGAAGCTGAGAATGTTTCAGAGTGTTCTATGGTCTGCTGGGGTAATAATATAGTGTAAAGCGCATAGAGCCTGCTGTTGAGCGGGGATATGCGCTATACAAATGCTATCTATTATTATTGTGGCGTCGGTGGCCTAGTGGTTAGGCTCTCGGACTCGCAACCGTAAGGTCGTGGGTTCGAATCCCGTCAGGGACCCGACGTTGTGTCCTTGGGAAAGGCACTTTACACGAATTTTCCTCACTTCACCCAGGTGGGAAATGGGTACCCGGCTATAGACAGCGAAAGATCTTGTCAGTTTGTTAGTGTTTGAGCGCTTAATCGGCTGCTTGCACTGTATGCTTCCCGGGAAGCTGAGAATGTTTCGGAGTGTTCTATGGTCTGCTGGGGTAATAATATAGTGTAAAGCGCATAGAGCCTGCTGTTGAGCCGGGATTTGCGCTATACAAATGCTATCTATTATTATTATTATTAATTTTCTAAAGATAAATCAACTACGAGTGACGAAGACTATAAATGATAAAGCAGAGACTTGGGCCAACGAAACTTGAGAAAAAGCTAGCATATAAAATCAAAGACTAAAACTAAGAATGTAAGACTTTAGTAACAGTTAACTGCACAATATACATGATACATAATAAGTGCAACTGTGGGCCAAAAGAATCAAAATTATTTTCTAAATTGTCTCTAGAAAATCTAGAATCTAATAAAAATAAATCTTCTCAAAGTCAAAATCACTGTGCACAGACCTTGGCAAAAGAAAACAAGTGTTAAACATATTTGTGAACAGATATACCATGGGTACGCTCCAATGATCTCCTGTTCAGTAAAGATTGAAAATATTAAATAGAAAAAAAACCAACTACACCTAGGACTACGATTACTACGAAGGCGAAAAGTGCGATGCGGCAAAGACCCAGAACTAAAGGTGGGCAAAATCCGGATACCTTATCCAGATAACCGGATAATTCTCAATGAAACATCCGAATTCAGACTCTTAACTCTCTTTCCTGACCCGTTTGCCGAAGTGGGTGCACATATTAGTGTTGAAGTGATGCTAACCCATTTGTCAAAGTCGTTCTGATCCATTTGCTGAAGCGGTTCATAACATTTGGCTTTGCCGAAGAGGTGCACTAACATGTTATCCGGATTGTGCTAAAGCGACTCATTGCCCAGCCCCGGCACGCCGATGCTGCCCATAGAAAAACAACTTTCACTATCAAGTGCACTGGCTCTAGTCGCCGTTAGACAGGGCTAAATACAGCCATTCTAGGCTTATTTTAAAGATAAAGAATATTTCTAACTGCCAGAAAAGTTACAAAACTGCCTGGCGAGTGGGGAAAAAGATATAAAACGTTGAAACTTGGCTTAAATTCAAATCAAAATATTTCTGGCTCTACGAGTCGGATCTGCCAAAGGAAGACGCCATTTTGTAGATGATTTTAAAATCTTCAAAAAGATGTATCAGAAGTATTAGCTATTACTATTTAATGAAACAAAAATCGTGATTTTCTGAGGTCACCAAATCACCGACGCAATCCGCCGCTCACAGTTTTCTACGGGCGGCGAGGAGCCGATTTCGCCGCGAGCCAATCTCGTTCACTGAACTGCCTATTTCTAGGGAGTTAACAAAAGCACCAAAAAGTGTGGATGCAATTGATTAATTAAATGACAACAAAGTTTTTCTGCTGAGACTAACCTCTGCATCATAATCCAAGCCCTGCTTTACAACATTAAACTTTCTGTTTTCCCGAGGATCGTTTCCAATCCCAGCACTGTACAACCAGTTTCCATAGTTGCTGCACACATCATGGTCAATCTGTTAGGAATCAATCAATGAATATAACCATAAGAAGTTCTAATGGTGACTCAAGAGCAAAACATATTCTACTCCACGACATTCTAGCAAAGACTAAAAATTCACAATTGTTGAAAATAATTAATTGGAAAAAAGATTCTGACACAACCAGAAAAATTCTTGCTCCACATTGAACTTTTCACTTTGCACACCTTACCAAGTCCCGTTTAACCACATTAGAACAACACAATATGTTTAAATATTTTTTAACAAGAATATTTATCGCACAAAATAATAACCAATAATTATATTCAAAGTAATCTGTAGTAGTCATAAGAGACATTGCTTTAAGCATGGCAAAAGCAGCCCACAACTCAGCTATGTCAGAACTAACCCACGACCCAAACCAAGAGACCTTGGTTTCCTTTGTCCAACATGTTGGACAAAACCCAAGATATATCAGTCCAACATTTAGCCTTTGATACCATACAGCAAAACCATGTTTTCCCTATCTACAGCATGTTTCAAACAAAGGTAAAATGTCTGCGGCTTTTCAAAAATTGGTCAGCATTGCTGGTCTCATGGGATTCATTTCAAAATTTTCGGTGGATCTTGCATGGGTGGGTCAACCTAATGAGTGAATAACTCACCAGCATAGACTCAAACCATTCTGCTCCTAATCTCCAATCAAGGTGGAGATCTTTTGTCAAAAAACTGGCAACATTCTGAAAGACAGGTAGGCATACTAACATGTAAAGTAAACCCGATTTAAAGTCTTAAGAATGACTACATTTTCATTGGAAACACTGAAAAGAATCCCACAACTTTTTGTTTTGATCCGGTTAAGAAAAATACACTAACACAATTACAGCTATTTTCAGTGCTAGGAATGAAACAAAACTGAAAGACAAAAAAAAACACCAAAAAAAAAAAACAGAGGGAGAATAAAGAAGTAGGACTTATCAGTAGCACCCTTTAACCACCCGCGAATCAGGACTCATGTACATCAGTGTATGTATTAGCAATATCGCGAATTTCTGTTTTGAGGGTTTTATATTACATACATCACGACATCTTTTTTAACTGCATGACGGGAGACTGACCTGGCGTCCTCTGTTTGACATGAACCCAGTAGCCATGAGTTCCCTCATGTTGGCATCAACATATGGCACTCCTGTCCTTCCCTCTGAAACAAGCAAACATCACCATCTCGTTAATATAATATGTATTAAATTCATCATCAGGATGGTGTAAAAACTTGATTCAATAGCTACTCCACAATAAACACAATTTAGACCTCTGTGACCTTTAAGTTCCACTTGTAGAACATAGTCACCATGAAAAACTTTTCATTTATTTAATTCAGTCTCTTCTTGTAAGATAAGATGAAAATATATCTCTCCAGATGATGGCACATTGGTTCAGTTTAGTTTAGTTTAGTAAGAGTTTTAAGATGCTTGCAACTGCATAAGGCATAAGGTTATACGAGTGCGCGAAGCACAGGTTGGTTGCATTCACAGCAAGGTTTGATTTTGGTCAATACTTTGATTAGATGGTAAAAATTTGTGGAAAAATTCTTAGTTTTAAAACAACATTTAAAATTTAAAAATCAAATTACAGTATTCAAAATTTATTTTAAAGAATGACCTTTATAAAATCGAGTATTCTGTTGGGATCCAACGACGGAGAAAAGGTCTTGCAATTTTTTTCATTTAAAATATTTCCTTCGGGTCTCTCCAAAGTCTGGACAGTCTGTTAACATAAGATGTGTCTAATGGTAAAATCTGTGTCACATCCAACACAGAACGGTTTCTCATCTCCCTGAAGGAGGTATTTAAGTGTCAAGGACGGGTGTATCATGCATAATCGAGTAAAAATGACTTCGTCTCTTCATGAGAGGCTCGAAGGTTTTCGTGGACCCAATTTGGGCATGATGTTGTGAAGTTTATTGTTAATTTGTTTCTCCAAATGGTTTGAAGTTTCACCACACACACACACATGAGCATGGAGTGCACGCATGCAGGCTCACACACCAATATACAGTCAAACCTGTGTAAGAGGGCCACCCATTGTCAAGGAGAAAAGTGACAGTATAAGACAGGTGGCCGTCTTAGGCAGGACTGATCAAGATGAAGAAAACAAACCATTCCCATCTGAGGTCCCAATAGAAAGTAGCCGCATTTTTGTTGTTTTTGTTGTTGTTGGTTTGCATTTTGTTTGTAATTTTTATTTTGTTGCTGATTTTGCGCAAGGGTGACAATAAAACGAAATGTATCAGACAAGGAAGACCGAGTGCCAGGTTAGAACAAACACATGGGTCTCCACCACTCGGAGAACGAGTGACGCTTCTGTCACAAGTTCATGTTGACGTCCTTTGTTATTTTGCTACAGACTGGGTAAACAGTGACCACTTATCTCACTTACGATTTGTGTTTTAGTTCTGGGCGGGGCTTATGGGTTATGAGGGATCACATGCTTACCCTACCAGCAGCTGAAAATTGGTAGCTATTGGTCAACAGTGGGAGGGGCCTACGCAACATGATCAGTTGGAGGGACTACCTAACAACAACGACAGGTGATTGAATTATGACGGCTCGCCCACAACGCCAGGGGCCAATGCACAATTTATGACAAAATGTAATGGAGTCACTAAGGTGGCCGTCTTAGACAGGTGTTATTGCTAAGTGTGATAGGGGTTGTGTGTTGAAATATGGTGGCCGTAGCCGCGTTGGACAGGTGCCCGTTTTACACAGTTAAATTATATAGAAAAAACGCAAGGGGGGAAATGGAAAGTGGCCGTTTGTACAGGCGGCCGTCAGGGCAGGTTTGACTGTATATAGACATTCTCTCACACATACTCTCTTCAATACACTTCTGTAAACACACACACATATATACAGTGGAATCCTCTTATAACGAGAAGGAGGGGACCGGTGCAAAATGTCCGTTAAAGCAGGATTCTCGTTAGAAGGGATGCCGTAATAAATTCAACGGAAATAATAAAGTAGGCCTAATCTATGAGTTTGGTGTTCTGTTCAACATGACCCCTAGGTCTAACTTGATAAAAAATCGAATCAGGTTTCTTTCTTTAGTGCTAGTGATGTTGACAGCTCGGCGTTGGCGATCAAAAAGAAAGGGCTCTAGGGTAACTAGCCCGCTGTGTTGTTCCCCACCCCATCACACCCTGTGGTGCGTTCCGTCTGCTTGGGCACGTCACACATTCGCTCCATACATCACAGCATTGTGACCTCTCCATCCCCGCATCGGAGAAGTGAGAGGCATGGTAGGCCTAGATAATCTAGACTAGGCTGGCCTATCACTCGATGCGTTTTGCTTGTCTGCGCATGCCACACCCTCTCCACTCATTCGCTCCGGCCTTCATTGTTGGCACACGTGAGCTCCACCATTTTTTGTTTTCCTTGATCACCAAAAGTTATTCAACAGGCAAGGTTAAATATATATTATGTATAACGGGCCTGTGCGTTGTGCACAGCAGCAGCAATATTCCGCTATAACCGACTCGCATGTTCGTCTGATTGCGCTATAGCAGTATTTTATTTACAAAGATAAAGAAGGAAAAAAATGGGGTTTTAGAATAGTGCCTTTATAACAGACTTCTCGTTATTTCAGGACTCGATATAAGTGGACTCCACTGTAGTATGCTTGCTCTCACAGACAGACTATCACCTGCATAAAATATATGAACAATTATAATGAACGACAGTACTAGAAAATGAAGCGATCACCTTGTCAAGACATGCATTACTGAAAAAGAGACATAGTACTTTCACAGACAAAAAATTATAAGACTCTTGCAAGAATTTGAAAACCAAAAAAGAATTTAAAAACAAAAGAACCAATAGAATACAAGTAATGTCATTATTTATGTTCCATATCATGTTGTAGGGGGTGTGTATCTGATCATATAACATACAACGAAGGAAAACAAAAAGAGAATCACTGACCTTGCCAAGCCTTGAATTGTTCCTTGTTAACTTTCCATTCAACCCTGTCCCCTTTAATGCCTGTCAAAAAGAAAGAAGACTACCATAATATTATGTATTTACAGTTCTTATGCCACTGAGAAACTCTTCCAAAATTCAAATAAATCTCAATGACATTTGTTGCTGACCCTTGTAGTTATCTGTACAATAATTTTCTTATATTCAATTAGGTAACAAAGGAAGTGCATTTAACATAATGAAGAGGCAAGCAAAAGCTTTTCACCATTATTGAACATACAAATTTTCTTGGCAAATGTGTATCATGTAATGATCCAGACACTATCACCAGTCTCAAACCTATCAGTAGACTCACTGATGGTAGACAACTGGAAATAACAACAAAATGAAAAGCAACTCCTACCTCCTGAGTGAAACAATTTATTCCCATACTTGAGCCCGACAAATCTGAAGTAGTCACGCCAGATGAGTTCGAAGATAACCCAGTACGTAGACTGGTTGGAAGTTCTTTCTTTTTCATACTTTTTGATCTCCCAGTAAATTTTTCGAGGAGACAGACAACCATGAGCCAACCTGGAAAAGTCATTAGAAGCATTCTCAACTTGGAGCCATATAATAAAGCAATAAGAAAAAGATGAAGCAAAAAAGACAGAAAGTAAAAATTATACAAAAAACTGAAACAGAAAAATAATATACCATGCTCACAGCAAAAACTGAATACTGAATAACTTTGAATACCATGTTACAAAATAATTGCTCAAAGTAAAATCAAACTGTGGCATTGAAGTGTTGAATTTACATTATCATAAAAGCTAGATGGTAAAATTTTTGGAAAAACTTTCAATCACATTATATCACTATCAGGAGCTTATACTAAAATATAAGAACTCTCCATTATTATTGAAACACAAAATTTTCATGAATCTAAAGAATCAGATGACCTGTCAAGATCACAGAAATAAAGCTGAAATCTCATTAAAGTTAACAAAACAGACACATACTTTCACTCTTACAAACACAATCGAAGACCAGAATGTCACCCCGGGACTAAATCTTTGACAGTAATTAGACTGCACTCATACTAGTTTAACCAAAGTTAAACTCAACTGAAAATTGATGCTCACTATTTTTACTGAACTCAACTCTAATGAAAGAAAAAAAGAAAAAGTAAAACCTAGTAATTCAGTCTGAGATTGCAGATAATACTGAAAACAAAGCAGATATTAAATAGACAATAAGAGCAGTGAAAGTTACAGGGTTCATACCAGGGAGAGAACTTAGTAGAGTAATCAGAACCAATCATGCCATTTCTTGTCTCTTTGTAAGTGCTGACATTGTCAGTTCCCCATAAGTAGCTGTGCAATCTTTCCAAAGCAGTCGTTTCTCCACCCAGGAAAGGAAAAGCTGCTCTGGAGTCTTTTTCTGGCTCTACGAATGAGAAGCATAAAATCATTTCATTGGGTGCTGATATTACAATGAACTGTTCACATATACATTTTAAATGTCAATTCTGCTATGATAGATCCTTTCATTTAACACTAACACAATGTTTGCCTGAACTGACTGATGCCCCCCCCCTCCAACAAATAAAAATTCCCATTCAAATTTGTTAATTTATAAAATAAAACAGCAAAAAGCAGTTTAAAATAGGTTATGAGCCAAGCAAAGAACTACCTTGTTCGCAAAACCACTTATGAAGCTCTCCACTTCCAGTCCCCACATAAAGGCCCAATTGATTCGAAATGAAGAATTTATGTTCCCATTTCCATAGAATCAAGCAAATCAAAAAAGAATCTATAAATCGTGCCTTAAAAATAATCAAGCCATAATCTGTGACCAGGTACAGACACAATAATAAGCAGATATGTTCCCATTCTTTGAAGTTTTACTAAAGCATTGAACATTGTGGCCAAGGACTGAGCAATGCATATTTGGCCCCAAAACAGGCCTTCACCTGGACAGCATTCTATTTAAGTCCAGGTTTGTCATGAGAACATGAATTATTTGAAGACTTGGCAAGATGATTTTTATGAAGCCACGCCATTAAAACAAAATTGTAAAAGGGTAATCATTCATCAACTGTGATTTTGAACCAAAAATGAAACTTATCTTTACAAAAGACAGAAAAAAAATCTTTGAAGGAGATGAATTTCTCAAGACTTTCTCACCTGAGACACCCAAGTCCTCATAGGAGGGAAGACTTCCTACTTCAATACCCTCTGGTAATGGTTTCAGAGCATCTGGGACATGGACACACTTGCGGATGGTTGTATTATCTTCCACTTTCTTCCTGAACTGTGTATAAACATCTGGAAGACTAATAAGCAAAGCATAACAACTATTACAACTTTTGTCATTTAATCAACAACATTACAAATTAACCAACAACATGAGTGTATAAAATCAATGAAAGGATCAAATCAAATGAGAGTACAAGTGTTTTTGTTTTTTTTCAGAACTAATGTTGTTTTACTTCTGCCAATAACCTTCTCGGATACAACGCTGTGATGGAAAAGATGGGATTCAGTTCTCTATCATTTCAGAAGGGTTTCCATTTTGGTTTATGTCGCACTTCATAATGTCACTGAATTTCAGTTGTATGGCAACATCCACATAAAAAGAATAATGGGAATCTTTCCTCACCGTATGGGTTGAAAAGGCAAGTCCTCAACATGGTACAGCGTATGGCCCCAGGTGGTGTTCACTGGTACATTCACGTGAGCTTCAATTGCTTTTTCAACTTTCACTTCTTCTTCCATGACCTTGAAAAGAAACGCAATCAGTTTTAAAGAAATTAATTTTACAAATGGACATCAGTAATCATCGAATCATAAAATCTATATTAATTAACTCACTAAATCTGGATCCCACACTTGTAGCAAGAGAGTCTCCCTTACCTTGAATTTGGTTAACGCAGCATCTGCAGGATCAGCACTATTTTTTTCTCCAACATAATCAAAAAAGCTGCGGGAACAGCGCTGAACACAACTTCACACCATCACCTTATTTCACTTGTTTTACCAGAATTTAGGTTTTGACTAATCACATGCGCAGAGGGGTTCCCAACAGAGCTCGTGACAGTGTAATGTTGTAAGCAATGTGGTATTGAGCCCTTTTTCAGCCCCGATAGCAGAGGTGCAAATTTCTAATTTTTTTGCAATACACACTTGTAGACACTGCATACTTTTACTGTTGGAATTATATACATTTACAACGACAAAAAAGATATAAAGAAGAAACGAATACTGTTTCTACAGCTTATCAGCATTCTACTATCTATGCCATCACTCCTCGGTAAAACATCTTTAAGCAATGTGAAATTAACCCTTTTATTTCCAGTTCCCTAAAAATTTGCCTAACCCAATACATTGAAAATGAATTTAGCATTGAAGTCAACATACCATTTTCACATTTGCATGAAAATTTAATTTGAGATTAATGCATTAGGATCTAACAACAAATTTTTCAATAATACCTTCAAGCCACATTCTCAGAAAAAACAGACCATTATCAAGTGAGTCAATTATGAAACAGAACCTGATTGAATAGGCAGAGAAAGGGCAATCGTATTTACAAGGCTAACTAGATCTAAGACCACTAAAGGAACTGAATAAATCTGCTTATGGATTATATCCTAAGCAAATATATTGAGCTATGGCATGAAAAATGGAAACAAATACCAAAGAAATGAGATAGAAAAATGTTAATTAATTACTATAATTTGTGCAAGTTATAGGCCTACGGATAGCAAAAGAGAACCTAATACTAAAGAATAAAGTAAATGAGCATAACCAAACGAAATATTTTTTTATAATTTCAACGAACCTCTTTCTGAAACACCACAGCAGCATCTCTTGTCACGTTCAAGGTTCTTAATAGGTCAGGTATCACCTCTTCTGGCTTTCCTTTCCTGATAACAAGGTCACTGAAATACAAGAAATACATTAACCATTAAAAAAGAAAGTAACAACATTTTTTTTAAATCTGGTAAATAATTTTATCAAGTCATTCCCAGCTATGGAAATCATATTCCTTGACAACCTATAGTCTATTCTCTTTATCTTATGTAAAGCTCATTTTTTACAGAATATTTGTATAAAAACAAGACCAACTCATTGTCACAGTAGTCACCACTAAAAGCATAAAAGACAGATTGGGTGGCAGGTTGAAGAAATCACCACTTACATGAATTTATTTAGCTAAAACTATCTAACCAGCCAGTTGCCTGTACAAGCTAACCAAATTATAAACTATTTAAAATATAATAATAATAAATAATAAATTGCATTTATATAGCGCATTTCCACAAAGAAGTGCTCAATGCGCTGTACAATAATACAAAGAACATATGAAGTGCACAGCTCCTCTCTCTCTCTGTCTCTCTCTCTCTGTCTCTCTCTCTCTCTGTCTCTGTCTCTGTCTCTGTCTCTGTCTCTCTCTCTCTCTCTCTCCAGTACATCCTTGAGTAAAGACAATCCCACAAAGCTTACCCAGACACATTCGCACACATTGATGAATTCACACAGTCATAAATTCTTACAGAACATAAGAGCATGAATAAACGATACTGAGAGAACATAATAGATACTGAGAGAACATAATAATATTGGTATTGGGAATGTCGGAAATTACAGATTGAAGCTGGACTGAAACAAATGCGTTTTAAGTGCTGATTTAAATTTTGATAAAGTGGTGGACTCCCGTAGATGAGCTGGTAAAGCGTTCCACAAGGAGGGGGCGTGGTGTGAAAAAGCTCTCCCTCCGAGTCTCTGACTTTTACTTTAGACAGGTCTTAAAAATCTTTTCTTAAAGGCCGAGATGGTATGTATTCGATGACCATGTCACAAAGATATGATGGTGCAATGTTGTTGACGTACTTAAAACAAAGAACAATTATTTTGTACTGAATTCGTGCTTTCACCGGGAGCCAATGTAGTTGAACTAGCATTGGTGTTATATGCTCTTTGAGAGATTTCTTTAAAATTATGCGAGCAGCTTGGTTCTGGAGTCGCTGTAATCTATTTAACGTTTCAGTGGGAAGGTTTCCAAACAAAGAATTGCAGTAGTCTAGGCGTGAAAGGACAAAAGAAGAGATGAGGGTTTTGATGGAATCAACACTAAGATATGTTGACATTTGTCCTATTCTGCGTAGTTCTAGATAAAATACCTTACATAGATGGTTTATATGATGGTGCATGGAGAGTTTGCAGTCAAAATAAACGCCTAGATTTTTCGCTTTATCTGTGAAAAAGATGTTATCATTCCCAATACATATATGGTCAAAATTACAAAGCAATATCCCTGGTTTGGCATTGAAAAACAGAACTTCGGTCTTATCATCATTCCTTTTAAGTCTGTTTGATATCATCCATTTTTTTACCTCCACAATACATTGTTCCATGCTGGTAACTAGACAATTGAAATTTGTTGGTAAAACAGACTTGTTCAGTTGAGTGTCATCCGCGTACATGTGGTAGTTAACGTCGTGCTTCCTAATTATTGAACCTAAGGGCTTTGTATATAGTGTGTATTAAAGTGGTCCGAGCACGGACCCTTGGGGCACGCCAAATTGCAAGCTGAAAATGGATGACATTTCACCATTTACAAGTATAGACTGCGTACGATTAAACATATAGGACTCAAACCATTCAAGAACACTCCGAGATAAGCCGAAGCTATGGCCTAACCTCCTTATCAAAATTGAATGATCGATGGTATCAAATGCAGCACTTAGATCGAGTAAGGCAAGAACAGACACTTTGCCATCGTCTGCTTCACAAAGGATGTCATTCTGAACTTTTAAAAGTGCAGTCTCTGTGTTATGAAACGCTCGTAGGCCGACTGATAACATTCTACAAGATTATTTACTTCAAGATGTGCTCTTAATTGAGATTGAACAACTTTTTCTAAAATTTTAGACAAAAATGGTAGGTTAGAGACCGGCCTATAGTTCTTAAACTCATTAGGGGATAATGACTGTTTCTTTAGTAGAGGTGTTATGACTGCGTGCTTAAAACACGAAGGCACTGTTCCTGAAAGGAGAGAATCATTGATAATAGCTGTTACAACATCAATAACAACGTCAAGATGGTTGACTTATAAAGGTGTCGGGATAGGGTCAAGGCAGCAGGACTTCGGTGGTGATGACATTATGATCTCTTTCACTGTGTCCTGAGAGACAGGTTTAAAATTACATAGGAGGTCCCCGTGGAACTCTTCGAATTCAGGTGCAGATGAACCGTGTTTATCTAATGTGTCTCTTATAGTGGCAATTTTTTCCGCAAGGAATGTTCCAAAGTTATTTGCTAGCTCTCCTGTGGGAGAAGCACAGGGAATAGAAGCAGATTTAGATTTTCCAGAAAGTGACTTTTGGATGTTTTTGACTTTGATATCATGTTATTGTAAAAGGAACGTTTCGCTACGATTATGAGTTCTTTAACTTTTCTGTGAATAGTCTATACATGTCCCTGTGCACGGTGTTGCATCAATATTCAATTTCTTTATCCTTTTAAATCTGTCCAGAGATAACAACGAGCCACAAAAATTAATAATAGTACAGAAAGAGAAAATTAACATCCATGCAGCATCCTTTGCAATAGGATTTTTTTTTTTTTTTTTTTTTTGGGGGGGGGGCACAATTAAGTGGACCACAGTTAACTTTACAACAATATCATAAATTATATGATTTATTATGAGCATTAATTATGAAAAATAACAAAAGTTCAAACCACAACCATTCATTACCTTCCGCGTGACTTGAGATTCTTTTGCAAGTCCTTCACACTGTCCAATAAGAAGCTGAGACGATGATTACCAGTTTTCGGAAATCCGAAATGATATGTGCCACTGTAATGACGAGGATCGAAGCAATACAAAGGCAAAAGACGAGTACCTTTCTGATTTGCTAAAAGCAGGGCCTGGAATATAAAAAAACCCAACAAATATCAGAAACCAGTTCAGTTCCATGTCCCTTCTACTCTTATTTGTTCTCCCTCCAGTCAAACTCTGGCATATTATATTCATCATACATCAATAATCAACAAATCAACAGGAAAGTTAACTTGTGAATCAACTAGACTGGAGTGAGAGACCATACCAGATGCTATTACCAAAGTCTTCTTTCAACTGTAGCCTAAATCATAATAAATGGTGGCAGTCTATCAGACACGAATTGCAATGCACTACTTAAGACCATCATTGAACAATCTAAGGTCAATCGTTATTTTCACTCATGCACACAGAGGCACTGCTTTTGGTAGGCATGCAACGGCCTTATTTTTTGCTGCAATTCAGATGGCCACTTAAAATTAACTGTCGCAGGGCAATTATTTTCAATAAAATTAAAAACCTAATAACAAAATATCAAATTATGGGGAAAGGAAGTGTCTATTCTTACCGATTGACCTTTCACCGTGTGTGAGACTTGCCAGCATTGGCAATTCTCACCCGGTGTGAAACAAAACATATGTTTTTCCTTACGAAGTGACTGTTTCTCAGAACGTTCGGGAAAATAAACTTCAACTCTATTTCTCCGAACAGTTTCCGTTCTCGAGATTTTTTTGGTTATTTGTGAGATTTAGGCGTCATCTTTCATTCAGCCATTCTGCGAGGACTGGGAAGAAGTATTTGTTGCATCAAATTCAATTTCTAGAGCTGGAAATTTTAAAATGTCTGATATTCAGATACTTCAGTTGTGGTCGAAGCAACGTTCCAGGACTATACTTCATTTGAAAATACCTTCAAAAGGTACTGCGAAAAAACAAGACTGATCGACCTTGGCAGTAACCTATTTTGCATTTAGTCATCCAGCAAAAAATAAAATACACTTCACGTAAAAAAAAATCCCTCCACGCTACCCCCACACCCTGTTCACACCTTAGTCCAACACACACACAGACACGCACACACACACCCACACACACTCACAGGCCACTACATTCGCAATTATTATCAACAAATCTCGAGAATAGAAACCGTTTGGAGAAATAGAGCCAGCCTTTTCCTAATTTCAGAATACTGCCCATCGGTGTTGATGATCAAAATGACAAAAACAAAGGAAAAAAATAATGTTATAGCAAAAAAGTAAACTAATTTGATAGTCTACAAAGATGCTACGTCGCCATTTTGTTTTGCCCGGAAGTTCTCGCTAGCCTATCTCTCTCTCTCTCGAATCCCTATATCTCTTTCTCTCCCTCTCTCCCCCCCCCCTTTCTCTCACACTGCCCGCAGACAAAAATTTCATGCTTTCAACACAAGCACGCTGGAACGTTTGTTTACACTGGTACAACGTATCATGATCAACGCAAACCAGGCGAGAATAGCCAACTCGCCCTCTCACCCGGAGTGATCGGCCTGAGCCGATGCAGAAAGCGGAGAACGCACACTGGGTGAGAATAGCCAGAAGATTTGCTTCTACTCACCCCGGGTGAGAGGCCTCACAACTGTGCTTTTCTCACAGAGTATGGCTATGGTCATATGCCATATGGGGAAAACATTATTGTTACTAATGTTACTCACCTCATTATCGTGAACACGCAGATCATTTCGAAACAGGTAGATTACAGTGTTCACTGGTGAGCTTGAGAAGGAAGACATTTTTGGCTCTCCGCTTTGTAACTTTGCAACTTTTTCAGGTCGATGATGCTTTGATTTCAGTCTTGTGGAGTAGTCTCTGCAACTCTTTCTTTCAACAACTGGAGTTGAAGAAATCGATGCACTGACACCAATGGGAGTCTTTATCAAGCATCTACAAAAAGTGAAACTATGGTCAATACCTGTGAAGCGTAAAACAGAGAGCATACAAATGTTCACTTTCATGGAATCCTGGAACTTAACTCGCTTCTAGACTTTCAAATTGGGAGTCTAGACTAGCAGCGTCTTTTACCTCTCCTCCACTTCAACTTCAGACTCAGCAGGTGTTCAGCGGCAGTGGCTGCTCAACCAAAGTCAAAGCATGAAAAATAAAAACGTTTCTTGATTTTAAACTTATTTGCTTATTCCTCCTAACTAGAAGTTGTGGTTACCATATGACTTTCAGCTACCTCAAAGACTAGGCTTAGAATGCACGCCAAATGTTGATGTCGTGAAGCACGCTGCAGAGGTTCCACTATTATACAACAAATTGCACTGTTACAAAATACTTTGCCAGGGGAAACCACTCTGACATTGGTTACGTTTTGTTTACGTTTGAAAGGGGTCAAAGGACGAGGCCAAGTTAGCTCAGGTCACAATGGCTCAGGTCAAGGAGTTTATTTTGAACTCCTTGGCTCAGGTCCTAATAATGGTGGTCATAATTATTATGGTACATTTTTTTCCGTTTGTTTGGTTTGTTTGTTTTTTGTTTGTTTATTTTTGCTTTTTGGGGGGAGAAGGGGGTGGGGGTGGAGATCAGGTATTATGTACGCTACAGCGTGCTTTAATTTCTCATTTGTTATTTTTAATCGCATCACAATAGCTACAGTTTTAAAAGTACCTTTCATCCCCCTCATTTTCGGGACTCCCCACTTTCCAATACAACGCACGTCGGTGTCAATATAATACACATTTGCTCCGACCCGGTTGGTGTATAGATCTAGATCTAGATCTAGTATTTTAAAAAAAACAAAACAAGGATAATAGGTGACTCTGGCACACTGGGTATCAACAGGTCATTGGCCTGGGAAGAATTCCTTTTGCTCAGAAATAACAGCTTACTTGTATTATTCACTCCAGCTGTTCACCGCCCCCTCCCCCTCCCCCCTCTCTCTCACACGCACACACACAGACACACACATACACACACACACCCGCAAATGTACACACACAC